TTGTATATCTTCTTTAGAGAAATATTTATTCTAGATATTAATCATTTATCAGATATATGATTTGCAAATATTTTTGTCTATTCATTGGGCTGTGTTTTTACTCCCTTGATAATATTCTTTGATGCACAAGAGTTTTTAATTTTGATAAAGTACAATATATCTGTTTTTCCTTTGTAGCCTTTGCTTTTGGTGTCGTATCCAAGAAATTACTGCCAAATCCAATGTGTTGAAGATTTTCTCCTATGTTTTCATCTAAGAGTTTTATAGTTATAGCTCTTAAGCTTAGGTCTTTGATCTATTTTGAGTTAGTTTCTGTGTATGGTATAAGGTAAGGGTCCAGCTTAATTCTTTTGTATGTGGATATCCAGTTTTCTCAGCAGCATTTTTTGAAAAGACAGCTCTTTCACCATTTAATGGTCTTGGCACTCTTGTTAAAAATCAATTGACCATATTTGCTTGGGTTTTTTTCCTGGGTTCTTTATTTTATTCCTTTGGTCTATATGTTTGTTTTCATGCCAGTATCACAGTTTTGATTACTATAGCTTTGTAGTAAGTTTTGAAATCAGGAAGTATGAATCTTCCATATTTGTTCTTTTTTAGGATTATTTTGGCTATTGCAGTCCTATCTTGAAGTTTAAATACTGATTTCCCCCACTGGTATGTTTCATGAGTCCATTTTAATTAAACATTTCACATGCAACTTCAACCTAGGCTATTCTGCTACAATCTTTAGGGTGGATTAGCTCATATGAGATTGGAAAGTAGGGAAATGAGGTCAGTGGGGAAATGAATGCCATGGAAACTATATTGGTTCATCTGCAAAATTTCCCAGCATGTAATATTTTGTGCCACCAAGTAGAGCAGTAAGATGTAAGCATGGTTGAAAACAGCAAATACAAAGACGAAGAGTATTGAAAACAATGCCCTTTCTCATGTGTTCTTTTTTTTCCTTTTGAAATAATTTTTCATTTACAGGAAAGTTGCAGAAATAGTCCAGAGTTCAGATATGCCTTCCTCCTAGCTTCCTTTGATTTTCACAATTCCATAACTATTGTACAATCACCAAAACCAGAAAAATAGTATTGGTAAATACTATTAACCAAGTGCAGACCTTGTCTTTCTAATCTTGATCGTCATTTCGTGGAATGTCTTACAACTTGGGTTCATCTGTTTTCTCATGATTAGTTTGGGAGTTTGCATTCTTAGCAAGATTACCAATCACAAAAGTAATGTGTCCATTTCAGTGCATAATGATATCAATGTGATTTATTACTGGTAATGTTAAACTTGGTGGTATCTGCAGTAATTATCCACAGTAAAGTTGTATTTTTCCTCTATGTAATTGACAAATATCTTACAGAGATAACTTTGAGACTATGAAATATCCTATTTCTCCGCAAACACTTATGACTGATTTTAGCATCCATCAATTGATCAGGTCTGCAACAATATGGTGGTGTCTGCCTGGTGGTGATTTTTTTTTTTTTTTATTTCTCTCATTCCTTCTATGTTTATCAGTTGAATTTTTTTGGTAAGGAAGAGACACTGTTTCCCCCAATTACATATTTATTCAATTATGTTTGCTCCTGTATCATTTTGACATCTTCGCATCCTTTTTCAATGACCTCAAGCACCTCCTTGTTTTCTAGTACAACAGATTGGTCCAGCTTGTATTTTTTCAAAGGAGGCCCAGTTTCTTTTATTGAAGAATAGTGTTTAGAATTCAAGATCTAGGTTCTAACTGTGCTGATTGCCCCAAGAGTACCACTATTTCAAGGCCTTCTTAGCAGATGGAGCCTGGAAATGTAGGTATGTATACTGACCCATCTAAATGTAGAGGCATGTGTATACATTAGATATGTATTAAAAACAATGATATTAATACTGATACTTCTGATTCCAATTCAACACCACAAAGTTTCTTCTAGCCACTCCCTCAACTCCACTTTCTTATTTGTAACATTTCTCATTTCTTGGAAAATGAGAGACCTGGCTCTTATATACAATATATTCACTTATTTGTTCAGTACTAGGAAACATACAAAGTAGTTAATATTTTGCTAATCCATACCCCAATGTGAAACAAATTTACTGACTAGTGTACAGCATTTGTTCTTTTTTAGTCTTTATCATTTCAGAATCCAGTTAATACATGCTTTCCAAAGTTACTTAGGTTAATTGTTTTCTTCCCCATCTCTTTCAGTATGAATGTTAGTCATTTGTAATGTGTTTAATTTGTTGATTTTTTTTTTACTATTTGTATTACATTTGGGGTTATTTTCCCATCCTGGCTGATTTTTAATAATTTACATTTTGGATATATGAAACATTACTCTGGTTCTGAGTCAAAGCTACATAGAAGGTATATACATTCAGAGAAGTCTCACTCCCTTCTAATTCCCCTCTTCTTTTCACCCCTTGGCTATTCACAACTGTAGGTTATCAGCCTCTTCAGTTTCTGATTTATCTTTCATGTATATCTTTTGCACAGATAAGATGCATGTGTATTTTCTCATATCTCCTTTCTTTTGTGAAGGGTAACAAACATACTATACTCTCCTATACTTTGCTTTTTTCCCCTTTCACTCCCTCTTCTTTTTGGCTCAATTTGGTGATATGCTCCATCTTGGATCTGCATAATACTCCATTTTCACCATCTTTGTGCATTTTATTGCCGCATCCCAGAAGCCCCAACCATTCTCTCTATTTCCTTCCATAAAACCACTTTCAGCTTATTTTTAAAGAGTAAGATTCTAATCTTACTGTGGTGTTTCTTTATTAAGAATTTATCACTTGTTACTGTGCCAATAATTCTTACTAGATTATGCCTTTTCAAAAAAAATTCTCTTGTTACAGAGTTGTAGAGGCTTTGAGGGTCTTGCTTCAACAATTTCCCCTCCATAAATCCTGTATTTTTAGTGTGCAAGTTTGAAGAAGATAAGGCTTTTGCAAAAAAAAAAAATATTTAGTAGCAGAAACACCCCATCAGTGGTTTTATTATTACTTTTTGAGTCTTCTAACACATTTCAAGAGGACATCAATTTAAATTCCACCTAAATTTCCAAGAGAGCACAATTTTGATTTTGTGTGTGATACTTTTACTGGAAAAAGTATCTGAGCCAAGTACCCATATACTATTTGTTATATATACAACATAACCATTTACTGTATTTCTTTTCAAAAAACTTGTTTATAATATCTTGCAATTGGGAAGCCATCCTGTAGGAATAATTAGTAAATCTGTGTACATTTCTTTACCTCCTTTTTTCAAAATAAAAACTGATTCATCCTATAAGCATCTAAAATTATTCAAACTCATCTAATTAAGAAAATTCAAGCAAAGATGCTACTGCTTGGTAATCAGTGGGTGATGATTCAGGTTTTGTTAATGAAAAGTCTTCACCAAGGTCAGCAAAGGGTGGGTTTGAGATGTTTGGGCGGGTTAAGTGGGCATTTTGACAACAAGGCTTCTCCTTTGGCATGTTTAATTGTCATGTTTAATGGCCATCCTTGCAGTTTAAGATGACCCTTTTCAAATAAAATTCTCTCCTAATGATGACTTGCACCCTCTCCCTCCATGTGAGAATTAGCAGAGCCTGTAGGATCTTATTTGAAATTGACATTCTCTATTGTAATTTTTTTCCTATTTATTTTTAAATTCTCTTTTTGTTTCACTGGAAGGATGCACAGTTTTAAACATTAAAAGTGTACAAGTTCTTTTGTTACAAAACTAATGTGTACACACACACACACACACACAGAAAAGTCCTCACCAGGTACAAAGGAAGAATAGCTAAAGGAGCGTCTCAGCACTGGTGATAATGATGCTAATATTGTTGAAGACTAGTGTGGAGCTTTTAAGCCCTATTAGGCATAAAGATTACTGGGTGAGTGGATGGGGGGATCTTGTTGAAATGCAGATTTTGGTTCAGCAAGTCTAGGGAGGGACCCAAGGTTCTGCATTTCTAACAAGCTCCCAGGTGATGCTGATGCTGGTTTATAGACCCTCTTTGATGAGGAAGGTTGGAGATATTAAGAGGCTAGACATATTTCAATAGAACCTTTTGCAATAATGGAAATGGTCTGTATCTGTGATGTCTGAGCACTTCAGTTGTGGCTGGGGAGACTGAGGAACTGAACTGTAAATGAAATTTAATTTAAATGTAAATTTGAATAGACACATGTGGTTAGTGGCTACTGTCTTGGACAGTGAATATCCTTTTTTAAAATAAAGGTATGATCATGTACTTGTACCTGTACATGTATACAAAATTGTTTTGGGGAGTTCTATGTTTTCATAAATGGAACGTTATTTGACTACATTATTCTAAACTTCGCTTTTTATTCTTCATGCCTTGGAGTTCTTTTCGTATCAGTACATATTGATTTGTATCATTCTTTTAAATTACTACGTAATATTTCACAGTATGGATTTACTATGGTTTATTTAGCCATTTATTACTGTATTGATGGATATTTAGGTTGTCCTTTTTTCCCCCTGCAACTACAAACTGAGGGTAAGAACATCTTTGTGCATGCCACTTCAAATACATGTTTGAATGTTGCTTTTTTAAAAAAGATTTTACTTATTTATTTGAGAGAGAGGGAGAGAGAGAGAGAGAGCATGGGAGGGGGGTAAGGGCAGAGGGAGAAGCAAACCCCTCACTGAGCAGGGAGCCCGACACGGGGCTCAATCCCAGGACCCTGGGATCATGACCTGAGCCAAAGGCAGACCTTAATGACTGAGCCACCCAGGCGACCCTGAATGTGTCTATAGGATAGATAAAGAGAAATGGAGTCACTGGGTCACTGAAAATGAATAATTAACATTTTCATGGTTACCACCAAGTTGCTTTTGAGAGAACATGAAATAATTTATTTCCATTAGTTGAGTGGGAGAATACCATTTCCTCACACTCTTGATTGGTATTATCAACATTTTTTATTTTTTGTCAATTATTCAGTGAAAAGCTACATCTTATTTTCATTTACATGTCTGTAATGAGTAGGGAAAATAAACATTCATTTATAAGATTCTTGATCATTTGCCCCCCCCATAATTGTGTAGGTTATTCATACACTTCTAGCCTTTCTTATGAGTTGTTGAATAAGCTTGTCAAACTATATAGTAAATATTATTGGGATATTTTGGGGATTGCCCTGTCTTTGTGGATAAATTTGGAGAGATTTGGCATCATAAAATATTGAGATTCCTATCTATGAATAATAATATTCTCCATTTACTTAGGTTTTCTTCTATGTACTATAACATTTACCTTTTCTCCTGTAGAGATCTTGTATATTTATTATACAATATTGAATGAATATTTTAATGTTTATTCATAGGTGTTTTATACTTAGGTTTCTGTTGTGAATTTCTTCCTTTACATTTTCTGTCTATCGCTGGCGGACAGGAAAACTACCAATGTGTGGATGTCTAGCTGCAATCTAGTCACTTTGTTGAGTTCTGTTATTATTTGCCACTTTTCATCATATTCGTTTTCACAGTCTATCATTTGGTGAACTAATACTACCCTGGTGCCTCCATCTACATCCCAAATCCCTAGGAATGACAGAAAAGTCATATGAAGAATAAAATCCATAGCATGGAGAAATACACACACTTTTCCTTTCCCCATGTGTACAATATGATAGGTATACTGTAGGCACTGGTAATCATTTTATATTTTCTGTGCCCTCCCAATAGTGTTCAGTATCAGTGCCCAGGAGAGGACCCTCCTTCTACTTAAGGGTGACACTGTGTGGATATACAAGAATTTCCCGTGTCCTGCTAAGGAGACTTCTGCCCAATCTTTGACTGTGACAGTGAAAATCCTTGTATGAAAGTCTGTACACAAATATCTGCAGGATCAATTTCTAGAACTGAAATCCCTAAACCTAGATCAAAAAGTATATATATGCATCTTCAGTATTGATAGCTACTCTCAAACTGCCTTCATGGGGGTTGTACCCATATGAGCGCGCTGGTTCTCCACACCTTTGGCAACACAACCTATGTTGTTCTACATTGTCTGGAAGAAATAGGGAGAACCGGCATCTGAATTCTTTTTGTAGCAGATGTTGCGGACGTCCCACCAACTTTATGTGCCACCGTAGAGGGCAGTTCCTGCACCTTCTGACCACCTACCTTGTGTCTGGATCTTTCTGCTTCTCTTCCTGAATCGTGCGGCGCCACAGGAATTTCCGTAGCTAATGCAAGGGTGGGCACTCCAGGGTGGCTGGAAAGTAACAGCCCATCAGGCTCTCAGAGGTAACTTTCAACATATGAGGAACGGGAACCAGTGGATAGATGAACAAGCTTCCCTTTCCCTCAGTTGGCGATTCTAAGCCACGTCCTTGCCGATTCCTGAGTGGAATGGAACTCTTGTTGACTACAGCAGTAATCTTCTCATTGAAATATCCTTTACTAACGTTTCCACCTTCCTACCTCACTTTCCCTACTCCCTCGCGTCATGATCTCACCTCACAAATAAACCACACGCACTCAAATCCTGGCCTCAATACCGGCCTTGGGAGGACCTCAACTAAAATAGATGGTACCAGGTTTGGTCCTCGAAAGTTGACGCTCAAGAATGGGACTGGAGAATTTGTTCACTCCCTGTTCAGGGAGCAACGAGAGTCTCATTGCAGGTTTAACTGGGAGTTGTGATGATCTATGGCATGCTGTAGCAGAACATTTCCCAAGACTTTCATGTATGATTGCTTAGGCTGAGGTACAGTTGGAGGGACTGTGCTAGGGAACAGTTATTGCTCTTGAACAACATGGGGCAATGGTAAAGATTAAGGACTGTGGAGGAGGCTGACTTTTGTTAACTTCCCTGGAAGCCCTGGAGAATGGCACACCCATCAGCCTATCAATTCAGGGCATTCTGTGAAAGCTAGAAGGCTTTCGTGGCCAAATTTAATTAATTAGACCCTCACCTCTTGCAGCAGGTGGGGCAGACTATGCTGAAAATTAGCCTCAAAATACAATCATAAAAATGTCGGAGCTACAGTGGAGACCTAAGGCACAGCCAGAGCAGGTGTCCTATCTTAATGTCAGAGCCATGGAAGGGAAGAAATAGGATTGTGAAATCTGGGATGGTTGTCTTTAGGTGAATGCCTACACAATCCTCACCCAATATTTTTTTGAATCTTCTGGGTAGGCGTGGTGATTTATAAAAAGGCCTCCCTTTTCCCCTGTGTTTTCTAATACTTTTCTTCCCTCCCTCCTTTCCTTCTTTTTGTTCAAATTTGATCCAACTGTAATTTATTTTGTTGTAAGGAGTGATTTGGGAATCCAACTTCATTTTTTTGCGCTGGCTATCCAGTTCTTCAGTATCATTTACTGCATATTTCATCTTTCCCCACTGATATAAAATGCTGGCCTGACTATACATTACATTCTAGTATGTCCTTGGGTCTTGTGGGAGAGAACGCTAGGTACTCACCAAACCTTTTCCCTCCTCTTTTTGGGCACAGAGCAGGGTGATTTCTCAGCTTTCAGTGCAGTTAGAAAATGATGGGCCTCACACCTGAAGTCTTCTGCATGTGACCCTCCATCTTCCTAGCCTTCTGCTAGCTAGAACGGAGATATCATCCAGGACAACTCGGGGAGCCGCGTGTCCAGAATGGTAGAGCTAGAGATGCAAGGAGCATGATCCCAGAATCCTTGCTTGCAGGAGAGCCTGCCAAGCAGAAACACCTGTTTGGGACTTTATGCAAATGAGAAATAATCTTTCATTTTGTATGAGCCATTTGGGTTTTTCCTTTTCCTTAAACTAGATATCCTTACTTTAACTAATATAGATCTATTTGTGGACTCTGTTTCACTCAATTTATATGCTAGCATTACAGTTTTAATTAATACAATCTTATATTTTGGTACATAGTAGGGCGAATCCCTTCATTAACTTTTATGTTTTTTTTTTCTGGTTTTCCTTGCATGATCATTTTTCCATATGAACTTCAGAATTAGCCTCACTACTTAAAATAATCTCCTTCATATGCTTTTTTTTTTAAAGATTTTATTTATTTATTAGAGAGAGAGCGTGTGCATGAGAGAGAACACAAGCAGGGGGAGCAGCAGAGGGAGAGGGAGAAGCAGGCTCCCCGCTGAGCAGGAAGCCCAATGTGGGGCTCAATCCCTGGGCCCTGGAATCATGACCTGAGCCGAAGTCAGCTGCTTAACTGAGTCACTCAGGTGCCCTCTCCTTTATATGCTTATTGAAATTACATTATATGTAGTTTGATATGGGAAACACTGACATCTTTATAACATTGAATTTTTTTTTAATATAAACACATATCTTGGGACGCCTGAGTGGCTCAGTCAGTTAAGTGTCTGCCTTCAGCTCAGGTCATGATCCCAGAGTCCTGGGATCGAGCCCCGCATCGGGCTCCTTGCTCAGCGGGGAGCTTGCTTCTCCCTCTCCCTCTGCCTGCTGCTCCCCTGCTTGTGCTCTCTCTCTCTCTCTGACAAATAAATAAAATCCTAAAAAAAATAAACACATATCTTTCCATAGATATTCATGCCTTCATTTATATTCTTCAATACCTTCTTAAAGCTTTTTCTGCATGTTAATGTTTCATTTAGTTTATTCATAGGTTTTTTTTTTTTTGAGTGAAGTGGTGTTATTGTAAGTAAGATCTTTTCTTCTGTCATAATTGGTTGTTGCTGATATAGGAGGCTCACTAGATGCTGTGTTGCCCATCTTAGCATGATGTCAAAAATAAAACACCAGTCTGACATCCAAAAAAAGCACTTAAAAGTAAAATAAATCTTAAAAAACATTTCTAAATGTCTATACTCAATAGCAGAAAAGCAGACTGTATAAACAGATTATGCTATTGTGGGTTTATTCAGAATGGTCAGAGAATGTCTTCCTTTTTGGCTGGAATTCCAAAGAGCTACTGCATTTATAAACTTTCCATTTATTTAACAAACAAGCCTTTGTCATGTTGGGGTTTGTGGAAGCCCTGTAGACCTTACTGTTCTCCACTAAGTTTCTGAATGACTTAGAAATAGGCATTCAGGCAGATGAAGATAAAAAGGTCGCTGTCGTTACTGACAAAATGGCTACGAAAGAACACGGCTGAAGTCTGTGGACACAACTGACTTCCTGACAAACTAGCGGTGAGCTCTCCCGCAGGGCCTGTTCTTAGGACCGAGGCTAGAAGGGCAAAGCAGAATGTGCACACACAATGCTAGTAGAAGGCATTCTAGAATCCCCTTCCTTCACTCTTGTTCTGGTGAGCAGTGAGGAAAAGGGCACAGCAAGGTCGGGACTCTACTGGGAGGTGCCTCCCCATGGAAGGAAAATCAGAAGCGAGGAAGAGGGTTACTCCACCAACACTCGGCGAAGCTATAATCTAAGCACAGTATTCTTTTTAGGGACCAAAAGTTCGCATCCACGGTTTTTGTATGGTAGTGTTAAATATAAGATTTTGAGGCTGAAATTCAAACGATATACATTTTTACATCGTGTTAACATAAGCATTGGAACTTATGGAAGTGGAACACGGTTCTTACCAGGTTTTATCCGTAAGAGAACAGATTGCAAAATACCCGGTAGCCTTTCTTCCATGTTTAACACAGTTATTCTATGGACATAATCACTAGATTATATAGGTAGTATCCTTTAGCTCTTTTGGACTCGTTTTTAACACACTTAATCCTTGGTAAATGTTCTTGTATTAATGCTTCCATTTGTTCAGTTTGCTCTCAAAGATAGCATGCTCACAAGAGCATGTACAATATAGGGCCCATAATAAGACGGAGACCCAGACGAAGGATGCTTGTGAGGGGTCTGGAAAGAACAGTGAGATGTTTGGAGGTACTCACTCTACCCCCACCTCCCTGGCAGGCTCTGGCTGATACATGAGGGACTTTTTTTGCTTGAGGGCAACATTAAAAATGATGAAGATAATTCAAGATTTTATGAAGGTAAATTATAAGTCGGAGGGGTAGCAATTTCCAAACATTGACCCCATCAGAGGTTTAGCATCACAAATCCTAGCTTTATCTGCAAGCAGGCAGGAAGTAAAGTGTAAAGAGGGGAAAAAAAAAAAAACTAGGGCAGGCTGACTTCCCTGATACCTCCCCCACCGCACCCCTGCCCCTGACTGCATGGGTCCAAGTTTTAAAATTGTGAATAAAGGACGCCTGGGTGGCTCAGATGCTTAAGTGTCTGCCTTCGGCTCAGGTCATGGTCCTGGGGTCCTGGGATCGAGCCCTGTGTCGGGCTCCCTGCTCAGCAGGAAGCTTGCTTCTCCCTCTCCCACTCCCCCCCGCTTGTGTTCCCGCTCTCGCTGTCTCTGTCAAATAAATAAATAAAATCTTTAAAAAAAATAAAATTGTGAATAAAGGGATCCTTGTACTAATTTTAAGACAAAACTTTTACACTGTAAGTAACTCTGCTTAAAGCTGATACTTCTTTTCACAGAAATTCAGTAGAAACTAACATAGGGTTTAAAAAAATCAGGATTTAGGAGAGGAATGAGAAGAGCAGTGGAGACTTGGAACAGCCATCACAGGACACTCAAAGTAGGGCTGGGCTTGGAGGTAATAGTCAACGTTTACTGACTGGTTCTTGCATTAAGGGTTTTGTATGTTGTTCTTCAGAATATGCCAACGAGTTAAGCTCTCTTATTGTAAAAGGGAAGCTGAGGCTTAGAGAGGTCATTCGGCGGGAAGAGTGGAGAAGGGGACACTGGAGCCAGGCAGTAGCTCTCTGAAGCTCACGCTTTTAAAACAGCTGTACTCTGTATCTTCGTCTTGGCATGCTTCGTATCAACTGGGGCGCTAAGGCCCCTAAACAGTGCTGATGGCTGATGGCCAGGCTTCGAGGTCTAGGTGCCACTGATGAGCATTTTGAAGTGACACAGACATGGTAGGAAAGCTGTAACTAGAGATCGGCTGACCGTTCAACAAGGTCTTCAAAGGAAGTGAAATCGTGCACGCTCGGCCTTGCTTCAGCCTCGGTAATGGGCTCCTGCTTCTGAATCCTAGGAACCAAACTGCTAAGATACTAATGCATCGAATGCCAACTTACTAGTTCGCAATGGTAAGACATACCCTTCCAGTGAGTGACTGGAATATTTACCGTTCAGAGAACTCCCTCCTAAGAATCCGGGTTCATAGAAACCTCCTCAGTCACCGTAACTTCATTTGAACCCCAGTGACGATAAAGGGACAGGATGGCACCGACGTTTGGGTTCCTAGGAGTGCAGCTGGAACTACAGAACCACAGAGACAGTGCAGGACCAGTTAGTTTAGGAACAAGCACTACGAGAGAGTGCTGGGACTCAGGATGGCCAAGCACAGTCCAATAAGGATCCTCATGTATCTTGAGCCATTCTGAGACAGCCAATAAAAACTCCTTCAGTTTCACACAAGGGCTTTCTCTTAAGATGTATGGTGAATGAGATGATCCTGTACTAAGAAACACCACTGACTCTAAGCTATCAGCAGTATGATGTATATACACTGCCAGCAATCCAGGGCCACTACTGCTAAAACAGAATAAAGATTGAGAGAGAATATCCTATAAAGAGTGAAGAACCTTGACTAAGAGCTCCTTGAGGACCCAGAACACTCAAAGACAGAGGGCTACAAAAAATATTTCTGAAGGAAAAAAAAAGACTTTGCTTCTTTGATATTGGGGAATATATACTTACTACCAAAGCTCTGGTCAATGCTTATATTTAAGTCACAGTTTTAAAAAAATTGCTCAAAATCCCATGCTTCAGTGATATTTGTACATAATCCAAAACCCTGTACGGTCGTATTCCTCATTGGTACTTAGAACACACATGAAGGATGTTTTGATAAACTAAGTATCTTCCTATTTGAAATGCACAGTGACATAATTTACCAAGTTGGTGCTAGTCAACAAATAGGGGCTGAATTTGATTCAGAGAGCAGGAGGACAAAACAATGAATATTCTGAAAAAAGAAACTCATGCCCTTTTATTCTACCTGAGTTAAAACAATGATGAGTCACATCGAGTTCATGGGAATTGTAATAAATGACTACTCAAGCAGATCATAAGATCAGTACTATGAACACACTGAGATCATATACAACTAGTGCTAGTTTGGTTTTAAATCTTTAAAACCTCAAAACACACCTTTTTATTTCTTTTAGCACACAAAATAATTTACTCATAAAAGTAACATCCATTTACAGAAATCTAATAATTTTTTTTTAAATTTAAAAATAAATAGCACTGTTTTACAATTCTGATTTTACAGAGAAAACTTTTTGGCACATAATGTTCTATCAAAATGGAAAGTTGAATCACTTTGCTTTGCTTTTCACAACAGAAATAGGCATTCATGCTATCAGCCTTGGGAAATCAATTTGGTGACGAGAAAAATTTGCTGGAAAACAGCATCATTGGAAAAATGGGATCTGGTGCCATCTATTGAGTGACAATGGTAATGGGACTTGGGTATTAGCCATCAAGTTAGGTAACACATTATAATTGTAGCTACATGCAACTCAACATGTACACGTGGTCAAGGCCCAAAAGTTACATGCAAAAATGGAAACAACTGCTGTTATTAGGATTAAGGAATGGATGGGTGTTTTTTTCCTCCTCTAAATGCCATCCTACCTTTAAAAAAAAAAAAGAAATCAGGTAGGTAAAAATGATTGCTGAACCTCAGGAATACTGAAGAGGGAAGACTTTGGTAAATTAAGCAAATGAAAAGTTCCATGATTAAGAGGGACTCAGGTAGGCTCTCTTACTCATGGAGAAGCTGTTGGCAGGCAGTTAAGTCTTTGGGTATTTATGGTAGGTCAGAATTAAGGATTTATCTTTTTTTCTTTTTTAAAGATTTTATTTATTTGACAGAGACAGACACAGCAAGAGAGGGAATACAAGCAGGGGGAGTGGGAGAGGGAGAAGCAGCCTTCCTGCGGAGCAGGGACCCCGATGTGGGACTCGATCCCAGCACCCTGGGATCATGACCTGAGCCGAAGGCAGACGCTTACTGACTGAGCCACCCAGGCACCCTCTTTTTTCCATTTACACCAAAAGCTGGTTTATTTGAAGAAATTATCAACCCAGACTGCCAATAAAGTGGCACTTAGGAACTATAATGATAATCAATGCCCATACTGATAATCTGGAGGCACCAAAAACCCTGAAGGGCTTTTCTGATTAGCAAAGAAAATTTTTGCTAGTTGACTTTACTCAAATAGACCTCCTCCACTCCAACAATGAGAATATGCAGCAACAGCTGGGCCACAACCCTGACAGTCTTGGAAAGGTAGATTTTCTGATTTTCATGGACTGGCAAGTTTATTTTTTTGGTAGTAGCTTTTGAGAATGTTACTTTCTTATACAGCTAGGGTACCCTGAGTACTAACAGCATGCCTAAGACATGTTTATGGTTGTCCTTTCCTTCATAACACTTCTCATAATCCATAATTTGTTTCTCAGCTGTCCCCTAAGAGGGCAGGGGACCTGTCTTATTCTGTTCATTACCATACACCCAGCACTTAATTATGTTTGGCACATGTAAGTGCTCAATAAATGTCGGTTGAGTGAATAAATGAATGAATTTTGTATAGTCCAACTGACATAGGGGGAAAAGAGGAAAAAAAACCAACCCTTACAAAATGAAGAAGACAATGATGGAAAGGAAGAAAAATAAGCAACAATCAATTGTGGGGGGTAGACTTGATGTCAAAAAAATTGTCATCTTTTGACAACTGATGATATCTGTTTTGAGATTCAAAATACCTGAAAGATTTTAACTTAAAGTTAATATAAAAACAAAGTCTTTTCTGGAAGACTCATTTACAAATAAGTTAATGAAAACCCTAAAAAAAAAAAAAAAAGATGTAATAGGAACCTAGTGTTTTGTTGTTTCAAGATGGAGAACATTCTGCTAAGTACACCAGCTGAATGTCTACAGCTCCATAGAGGGAGCATAGCACATTGAGGACTTTTTCTTGAATGGTGTCAACTTGCTCAGAAGGACAGTAATCATCCAGACTTGACCTGGAACCAAGAAGAGAAAGAGAAAGAAAAATACCTGTAAATAAGATAAGATCACACTGTGCGGTGAAGAAAAATCTGCATTTGTTGATTTCAATATAAAATCGAAATGAAGGTATGTTGAATTTTGGAATAGTAACAGTTGAAAGCTACTAAATGTTTACTCTGTCAGGCACATTACATTATGTTCTTTAATCTTCCAGCAATTCTATGAAATACATACATTTACGACCCCTTTAAAAGGAATCTGAAACAGAAAATTACCCTGCACAGGTCACCTAGCTGCTAAGTCCTGGTGCTGGGATTCAAAATGACACAACATGTCTTCAAAGCCTCAGTGCTTAATCACTAGACTGCTGTTTCCCCCGAAGGGAGATACTGGAAATACCGGGGGTTATTATCTTAATGACTGGGCATCTTTCTCATTCTTTTATTATGGGCACAATAGGGCTAGAAATGATAAGAGTAGAGGCTTTCCAACTGATAAAAGGTGTCCACTTCTAAAACCGATCTGTTAAGTATACAAGTATGTAGGATCATCCAAAATGAAATGTGGAGACATGCTGGTTTTGGGATTAGTTTCCCAGGTAGTATTAAGGAGAAAAGAGCAAAGTGGGATGGGGCAGGAAACTGTATTTTGGGGAGTCTTTCCACAATCACCAACTACAACCTCAGTTACCAAGCAGTTACAATGTCACTGACAATTAAGCTGGATTAAGATCTGAAATGATTTCATCACTGTCTCCTGGTTCTGGACTGGGGTGAGGAAAGCCATTTAGATGTGGGATTGGAAATCTTGATAGAAGGAAATGGATTTAGTTATCTAGCTTAGTCCTTGTCACAAGCATTTTAGACCTAAAGACATAATCTGTAAGACTTCTGATAAACTCATTCCATTCTCTGGTGATCAGGTTATTTTTGAGACTTGATGTAAATAACACACAATAAATGAGACAGAGCAATTTAAAATTATTAAATACTGTCTAATATATACATATGGATAAAGACCTAGTTTGAGAAAATATCATATATAAAAGTTTAATTTATAAGCCTTAATAAATAAGGAGTACTTTGATGCTTTCAAAAAGATTTCTGGCTTCTTTAAAACACTGTAGAGTAGTTCTTGAGGGAAGCTACCCCCAAGAGGGAGTTTTGGAAACCTGCAAGTACATTTTTGATTGTCACAATGACAAGGGGCTAAGGCAAGAGGGCAGGGCTGCCAGAATGCTTGCAATATGCGGGACAGACCTGCAATATGAATGTAAATATAAATACTTGTCCCGTGTCCTATATACTTTCCAAAGTCCACAGAATACTCACATAAGTGAAAAAACGTGTTTTTAATTCTTGAGCCTAGAACTTAATGCTCTTCTACATATGAACAAAGTATTTTTGAAAATGGATTAAATATGAACTAAATTTCCCAGGAATGCAGCTATTCTGTATATTGAGAAGACTGGACTTTAAGTTCAGAACTTTACCAAGAGGTTGTTAGGACTAGAAAATCCATGTCACTACGGCAGTGCTGTTCATGGTATTTGGCCAATACATCACATGAGTATCTGTCTGCACTTGCAACTTTACATTTAGTGACTCTGTAAAGAAGCTAGTTTTGTGTGGCTTTAAAAAAATTTTTTTTAAAAGGTTTTATTTATTATTTGAGAGAGAGAGAGCGCGCATGCATGCTCACAAGTGAGAGGGAAGGGCAGAGGGAGAGGGAGAAGCAGATTCCCTTCTGAGCAGGGAGCCCAACATAGGGCCAAGGACCCCGAGATCACCACCCGAGACGAAGGCAGACGCTTAATGACTGAGCCACCCAAGCACCCCTTGTGTGGCATTTTAATACATATTACTTTATCAGTTACTTTCATTTCTTTTATGTTACAACGATTTTTGTGTATGTATACATATATAAACATATATTTAAATTATGTGTACAGGTAGGCTATTGTTATTAACTAAATGTTTGTGTCCTTCCAAAATCCTTATGTTGAATCTAATTCCCAAAGTGATCATATTTGGAGGTGATTAAATCATGAGGGTGGATTCCTCATGAATGAGATTAATGCCATTATGAATGAGACCCCAGAGAGCTCCTCACGCCTTCCACCATGTGAGGTTATAGGGAGAAGACTGCGGTCTGTAACCGAGGAAGCAGGTCTTCACCACACTGAATCTGTGAGTGACTGCCTCTTGAACTTCCCAGCCTCCAGGACTGTGAGGAGTGAACTTCTGTTTATAAGCCACATGGTCTATGGTATTCTGTTACTGCAGCCTGAATGAACTAAGACAATTATATTATCTGTATATTATGTATAATATTTCTATGTACTTAAACCATGTATGTATGTAGGTTAGATTATCTATGAATTTCATTTCAGGATGGTAAAAGGACACTACAAAATATTTGTCATAAAATATTAAAGTATTAACCTCACAGTTCCATATAAAACCAGCCCAAAGATTAACACAGAAAAGTTTTATTAAATTGTTTAACTTTCAGCACATTATTCTCAAATCTGAAACATGGCAGCAGCTAAATAGTCTTCTGGAGACACACAAATGGGAATTCTTGTGTTCATCTGAACAGTATCACCAACTTCAAAGACAAGACAATAAGAACTGTATGTTGTTTCCCAACCATCACTAAGAGGAAAGAGAAAATACATCTGAATTTTGAGCCAAGTAGGTGAAAAATTGATTAGAATTACTGTAATAGTAATCATTAGATTCATCTATTGGGACTGTATTAATTTCCCATGGCTGCTATAACAAATTACCACAAACTCAGAGGCTTAAAGCAACACAAAGTTATTACCCGAGTCCTACAGTGAAGATGCTAGCAGGGCTGCCTTCTTCTCTAGGTTCTAGGGGAGAATCTGTTTCCCTGTCTCTCCAGCTTCTAGAGGCTGCCTGTATTCCTTTGCTTGTGGCCCTATTCCCTCCATCTTCAAAGCCGGCAGCGTAGCATCTTTCGATTTCTGATTCTGACCCTCTTGTCCTCCTTTTATAAGGACCACTGGGAGCACACTGGCCACTGGATAATCCTGGCTAATCTCCTCATTTCAAGATCCTCGAGTTAATTATATCTGCAGTCTCTTTTCCTATACAAGATAACATAAACACAGGTTCTGGAGATTAGGATGTGAATATCTTTGGTGGGTCATTATTCAGGCTACCACACCTACCTTGCAATGGTCACAAGAGTAGGTTTTGGTAAATTTTTCAGTAAATAATATACAGACTGAATAAGATACTCAATTTCTTGTTCTGTGCTGATGTGGTGAGGAAGTTCTGAGTAATCACAGGTTAGACCAGCCTGGTGAACCTGAAAATAAGAAAATTAAAAATTACCCTGTTAAGTCTTTATTGTTTTTAGAAGATTCTTTAACCATTAATGTCCTTGCTGACAAATCTTATAATATTGTTGTGGACTGGGATTGTTTTTTTCCTCAGTAGTTTCTGTGCCACAGAAGTTCTCTATTCTTTAAAGTTTTGGAAGAACTGGCCTGTACAGCTGTTTGGGTCTGATGTCTTTTATAGGAATAATTCTTTTAACTACTTTTTAATTTTGTAATTTTGAATTCAGTTTCTGTCTTTGAGTCTATTTTGATAATTCCTATTTTCTAGCAAATTATCCATTTCACCTAGATTCTAAAAGCGGATATAAAACTATACATATTCTCATCTTACCTCTTCTTTCCAACATTTTTTTTTTTTTTAGACACATGCCTCTAATCTAGTACTATGTTCAAAGCTTCAGGAGGATATAAGGGAAAGTCTTTCTCCTGTTACCAGTTTCTTATGTATCCTTTATATGTACAATCACATACTACTGACATCTATAGATGTGTTTTTTAAATGTCAATGACTGGTGTTCCAGTCTTAGCACTCAACTATGCCTGAAAGTTAGAAGTGGCTCATGGGCTAACATTTTACATCCTCTGCTTTGAAGTTTTGAAAAACGGAACTCAATATGTCACTGTTTTGCCTAGTGTATATGAGTGCAAAGCATGGGAAAAAACCCCCATTAATCTATTTTATTGAAGGCTCTGGATACACATCAAAATTTTAACTAGGAACAATCAATGTAGGAAAATGACAGAATGTGCATGTTCTTTTCTATTGAAAGGATCAAAACACTTAGTGGTCTAATCCTGCAGCTATAGGCACATCATATTTGATTCCATAATCTGCAATCAAGCCCATTCTAACCCTTCCTTCTTTCAGCAATGTCCAAAACCCCATCTACCACTGGAAAATCCTGATGCAATGTAACATTTACAGCAGACCTGCATGAAAACACATTCAACAATGCCATGCAAGCTGAAAGCATTTTAAAATCCTAAGTATCTTCCAACTCTTATCATTCTTAAAAATTGCCATTAAAAAAAAAAAAGTGGGTTTTGGACTAGCTCCAATTTAACCAAAATATTCTTTCATTAGTATTTTTTTATTCTTATAAAGTTGGCATTAAATCAGTACATAAACTTCAGTTCAAATAAGGAGGTTTGATTGTATACCACAACTAAAGAAAACATGAGAGCAAAAACACAATTTATTGAAGTCAAAGCAGCACCAGGAGTAAAAGAAGACTTGCAGGTCTCAGTTTTCGCACAAAATCTAAAAAGACACTTGAACTTCAAATGGGAAAATTTATGCTTCAAAAACTGCGAAATGATATAAAAATAAAAGCAATTATCATTGAGGTATCCACTTTTACCATAGCTTTCAGATCACTGTTGGCAAACAAAGTCAGTGATACAGCTGATAACAGTTGAGATGCACTTGCCAGAGCACCTTTTTGTCTTTCTCTTGGTTTTTACAATCAGGAAAGTCTTCAGAGAGAGGAAAGAAAGGAGGAGGAAGGGACTATGAAAACGAATTAATAAATAAGGGACAAAATAAAAACATACACAGCACTTTTGCTTCATACATAAAATTGGGAAAAGCTTATTTTTTCTGGAAAACTTTTCCAGTATTCTGACTTCTAAAAAGTTATGTATTTTTTCAGGTCTTCTCATTTAAAAAAAATAATTCATTTACACTTTCCTGGAACACAAAAGAAAACCACTTTAACAAAAAGTACTTTTTCTACTCAGAAAAATGCCTTTCTATATACTTTAATATAAAGTATTTACCATTTCATAGTCTGGTACTTCCATCCGTTTTTTCAAACTCTGTACAAGTGGAATTAGTGATTCCATTCTGGAAAAAAGTCACCCTTCAATTAAACATCACACCACCTCGACTACAATTATAGAAGCAAATGATCTATTACATTTAAAATTTACCTTTAACAATATGTTTCACATGATGTTTGAGAAAGATAAAGATATTCAAATATCATCTTAAAATATTAAGAAATAGATGTTCTCTGTTTTTTCTTACCTACAAGATTACAGATTGTGTTAAAGGTTGAAAATTAGCACTCAAGAAACTGAGATTTTCCTCTTCTTTAGAAATGGAAGCTCTACTGTGACTTTAAAAATTATTTTCATCAGCAAGAAAACTAAGTGCCTTTAGCACACAGTGATGAAAAAAGATAGTTTCCCAAAAGTTAAAAAAATTTAAGAACATATTTGACATACACAATTATAACTGGAAAAGTTCTATACCATTTGGTATACTAACAATACTGCCTTTAAGTGATTTAATTTAGGTGGAACTCTTTGGAAGGCATGATTAATTAATTAATGGTTCTAGCATTTTGTCTCCCCCACCAATGTCTACTCATCTGGTGGGAGGGGGAAAAAGGAAAGAAAAAGGGAGGCATGGAGGCCTATCTATCCACTCATCCTGTTACTTCTTTCTTTTTATTAAAAACACTTTCTGGGCTTCTGGACCCTAATCACCTACCTCCTCTACTTCTTAATAGTGAAGACTCCTTCATGCTGAGGATCTGGCCCTTCAGGGGCATGGTAAGTTTGGGGAGACTTTTCTTGCTTGTCTCACCCACTTTTCCTTTGTGCTATTCTTTTTTCCCCCAATTCCAGCCACAGTCTGGACTCGCTTCTGTTGTAGCCTCATTGTTTCTTCAAGTCTGTGAGAGAACCCCCTGCAGGTGATGAAGAGTTAACCAGGCATGCTCACAGGCACAGCGAGTTTCAGTGAAAGGTGGACCCGTCTATGGGCTAGATCAGGACTCCAAGGTTTTCATGCTGTTTTAAGTTTTAAGCTTGGCTTGAGACATCACAGAACCACAAAATAATAGGTACTTTTCAATATTTCAAGAAAGAATCATATCCCATGAGTTATTTCTACATCTCCCTTTCCCATCATAATTTCAAAAAGGAGGGAATCATTTTTCGAATTAGCATTCTATGCTGAAGAGGAAAAGCGTGAACTGATGTTAAAGTGCCTGGTCAATATTTACTGATGTGATAAATATAATACCATGGTTTTCCTTAGTGATAATAAAGTTTTATATTTATATTTCAGGGATGTTTTTCAATATTTTATTTTTAAACAAAAATTACACTGAATATTTTGAATAGGTAATATACACACATAGCAAAATATGTTTCGGTCTTACAACTTCATCTTTCAGCCATAGAATTCCTCTCCCCAGAGGCAATCTCAATTTCAGTTTCTTCTGTATTCTTCTAGACATCTGATGAATTATCTTAAATAACTATGACATAACAAGTCTTAGTGGCTCAAAGTACTACTATTCTAACTCTCTAATTTATGTTGCTATCTTATGACTGATTTCTTATATTTACACTGTGGAGAATAATCTCAGTTTGTGGAAGACCAATTTGAAAATAAGCTACTTCTGGTTTCCTATGCTCATGTAGACAAAAAAGTTTGTGTCTGATGGTTCTATTTTAGTTTTCTGGCCTTTTGAGTTTATATGATTTAAAGAATTATTTCAGAGACTTAACATCACTAATCATCAGGGAAATGTAAACCAAAACCACAGTGAGAAATGACCCCACACCAGTCACAATGGCTAGAATCAAACAAGAAATAACAAGTGTTGATGAGGATGTGGAGAAAAGGGAGCTTTGGTGTACTGCTGGTAAAAGTGTAAACTGGTGCAGCCACTGGGAAAACAGTATGGAAGTTCCACAAAAAATTAAAAATAGAAATACCATATGATCCAGTAATTTCACTGCTGGGTATCTGCCCAAAGAAAACAAAAACACCAATTTGAAAAGATATATGCACACCTATCTTTACTACAGCATTATTTATAATAGTCAAGATATGGAAGCAACCCAAGTGTCCATTGACAGATGAATGGATAAAGAAGGTGTGGTGTATATATACAATGGAATATTACCCAGTCATAAAAAAGAATGCAACCTTGGCATTCATGACAACATGGATGGACCTAGAGATTATTATGCAAAGTAAGTCAGATAACTACCACATGATTTCACTTGTGTACGGAGTCTAAAAATCAGAAGAGATGACAAAAACACAAACAGGCTCATAAAGACAAAGAACTGATGGATGCCAGAGTGGGTGGGGAGATAGGTGAAAAAACTGAAGGGGACTAAGAGGTCCAAACTTCCAGTCATAAAACAAGTAAGTTGCAGGAATAAAAACTAAAGCATAGGGAATGTAGTCAATGATATCATAAAAGCACTGTATAGTGACATGGTAACTACGCTTACTGTGGTGAGCACTGTGTAATGTACAGAATATCAATTCATCATGTTGTACACCCGAGACTAATATAGTAAGTCAACTACACTGCATTAGAGAAAAAATAGAATTAGTTTAGGGAAAAGTAACTATACTATTTATGTCAACATTCTTTCAAACTTGCTTTAATACTAAAGGCACTCTTCACCCCGCCCTGTACAATGACAGATGATCATGCCAAAAGAACTTTTCTCTCCATGTTTTCAAGGTAATGTTAATGCTGAGACAATTGGCCCAATGGAGGACCTGATGAAGAATCCAGCTTTCAAATCCTGCTCCCTCATGCCATGGGCAGCTTGAGCTTCTACTCATAGTTGGGCTATCCTTAAAAGGAGGCAAGTTTTCACATCATAATTTACTTGTCTAGTCATTTACTTTTTTACTGATAGGTTAATTCTTTTTTTCTTATTCTACTTAGAATGGGGGCTGTCTTACCAATCTTTAATCTTTCCTAAGACCTAGCACATCTTATATATCACAGAGGCAGTCACTGCACAACGATTAAGCACATACCCACTTACTATGTGATTTTGAGCAACTTAAACCTCTGTGCCTTAGTTTCCTCATGTATAAAATGAACATAATAACAATGAAGCCATCAGATTGTTGTAGGGAATAAATGAGATAAATGAAAAGGAAAAAAACTTAGAATTGGGCACATAGAAAACACTCAGTAAAGGCTAACCATTGTTAGTAAATTTGTGTTGGCACTTAACAGTGATTATTAAAAACTAATTTATCTAGCAAATTTAACAATATATCTAGGACTAAAATAGAGCTGGGGAAAAAATGTTTCAAGGTCTTACCCAGGGTTGGAAGCCCATTTCTGTACGGTTTCTTCATCATCACCATCACATAAATCAGCAAAAGCAGCTTCTAAATCTTCTAACTGATGAATTCGAGTATCAACACAATCTACCAAATCTTCCTTTAAACACATTGAAAAGCCAAGATTATAATTATTCTTTGAAAAAATAAGTGAAATCCCATTGCGATGAAAATAGCAGTTCAATTAGTTAAAACCATGACTTGTTAAGTACTAACCATGGGCTTCCCCAATAAACACACAAAGATTTTGGTTAGATGTTTGAGAGCACTCTAATGAGCTATAAGATATTATTAGATATGTGATAAATAGACAAAACCCAAAAGAAACAAATGAAGGATACCTCTGTCAGGTTGGTACCAGGTTTTTTAAACTGGTACAACTCTTGTAAGATTTTGTACTCTTCCTGGAAAACAAAACAAAAATCCATATACTAGGAAAAAAAACAATTTTTTTCTCAATGATATGCTTTAAGTAAAAAATGGCTATGATATAAGAATATCTTAGATAATCCTTTAAAGATTAGTCTGTGAAAATCAGGGAAAATGTATAACTCAGATGTTACTGTAAACACTGTCACTGCTTTAGGGAACTCTATCCCGACAAGAATGTATGAAAATTAGCTATGGAAAAAGACTTGATATGAAAGATTTCTAATAATATTCTACATTCTAAATGGATACAAGGATCTAAACAGATTTTAGCTATGTATAGAAAATATACATGTCTTTAATAGCAACAACAAAAACTCTCCATGTTCACTTTGGCGCCCTTTCCGTAGCCACTGAAGAGAACTCAGAAGTTCAAAGGCAATACTGGGGGCAGATACAATGAAGAATGATGCCTTCTAAGCACAGACTCTGCAGGAGAATGTCTCCCCTTTAGCATGCTAAATAGCCCCATTAGAGGTGGGTACATCTGGCCCCAATAATCCCTTGTAGGAGTACTGTTGGGAAGAGTTTATATGCAAGAGCTGAAGTTCACTAAGCACAATGTTGTGCCACTACCCTCATCATAATAATCCTAAGCATTGCGTGTGATTATTTTGATGTTATACTTGAAGAAACTGTGGGTCAGAAAGGTTATGTAACTTTCCCAAGATCATACAGCTAATAAGCATAAGTAACAAAGAGAACTTAACTTGCTCTGGACTGCTGCACATGCTCTTTAAAAAAAAGGACACAAAAATCTCCACTTCCTGGGTTTCCTAATAGCACTGGAAAAGGAGTAACTGCCATTAAGTTCCTTGTATAACTTTGTAGTAATTTTCATTAAAAATATTTGATAAGTATATTTGTAAAATAAATTCCTAAAGTCAGTTTCTTCAGCTTTCAGACATGCCTATTCAAGTTTTCTGAATAGTTCTAAGGTCATTTCATGATTCTAAGAACTTATGGTTATAACTACTGGCTCCATGTACAGAAGCAGAAAGAAATGGAAATTTTTCTCCCTTATTTGCAACTTGGAAGAGTACTCTAGGTTCCCCATTCTTGTTTCAGATTACACTAAATCCTCAAATCTTACCTATTTTTTAATCAATACTTATTTAGAGGTCTTTGATAAATCACAATGGCTTCCGATACATATGCAATTTAGGATTGTAAAGTGCAATATCATTCTAATCAAACACTGAATTTAGGTAGAAAAAAGTTAATTTGAATCCCAAAAAGAATAGACTTGAACAGCCTCCCAAATGTTAAAGCAGTTAGTGTCATAAAATACACCCAGGAATTCTCACTTGGAGCATGAATTTATTGGTTTCTTAAATGTTCCATCTCAGATCTGTGCATGCTAATATTGTCTGGCTTTCTGCATTTAAGATCTGATGAGGTACCCTAAGGATCACAGGCCTGAATCATTAGCTACAAATAGTACACGTGTAATCAGGTACCTCATGGTCCAGTGAAAAATTTGTCACAGCACTTTATATATGTAGAATATCTCTGGAAAGATACACCAAGAAACTGGCCATGATGTTTGTTTCTGAGGTAACAAACTGAGGGAATGGGAGTGGGGTGAGAGTGACATTCTTTAATGCATACGCTTTCTTGTACTATGGGATTTTAGTTTTTTCAACTACCCATATACATATTACCCCAATTAATAAAGATGAAATAATAAATACTATCTAGAGCAGGGATCAGCAACCACAACCTACAACTTGTTTTTGTATGGCCCTTGAATTAAGAAAGGTACATACATAATTCAATTTAAAAAATAGGTGCATATGACTTAAAAAGGTTTAACAACAACAAGGAACAATGTGTGATAGAAATCATTTGGGACCCCCAATAAAGTAATTATATCTGGCTGTTTGCAGAAAGTTTGCTGATCCCTGATCTAGAGAAATGTCATACAATTCTCAAGATCTACAATTCAAAAATACCACATTTACCTGAGTGAACATTTCTTTGAAGGGATTCTTGACTGAAAAAAAATCCAAGTCAATATCTAAAATAAATGCATCCCCTTTCTTCAAAATTTCCAGAATCTCCCCAGTGCTGACTGTAGTCTGACATTCTTGGCTTTCAGAAGAACATGAACATGATTGCTCTAGGCAGGTTTGGTCCCTCCTCTCTGTCACTGTGTCCTTTTCCAGTCCTTCTGAATAAGAGTCACACTTAGTAGAGGCAGTGTTTTCTGCATCTTCCAGTGCTAGCTTTGGCTTCTTAGCAGAAGACACTGCATCTTTTTCTTCTTGATTGTTACAGGGTTTATAAGGTTTTACCATAATTACATCCAATTGTAAAGGTTTTTGGTTCTCTAGCTGGTCTTCAGTTACATAAAGACCATCACTTAGAAAGTAATGATCTGTACTTGTAACCCTGGATTAGAGGAAAAAAATGATTTTAAAGACAAATGGACAAATGAGCTGACATTTCATATAGCATTTCCAAAGCACTGCAGAAATGTAACAAAGAACATATTTAACAAAAACTAAGAGTTCTCTCTACTTTTGTTAATTCCTGTTTTTCTACACAAATAGTTTTCCCCCTAGTTTTAGCTGTGCATGTAACTGCCCAAAGTAGACTGGATTTCATAGCTGATCTTGCAGCGAGGTGTGGCTATTTGACTAAGTCCTGGACTAAGGCTGTGAGTGGAAGAGAAGCATATATAACCTTGCTCCCTTCTACCTGCTGACTGGTGCATGAACATGCAATTGGCAAGCCCACCTTGCACTACGAGGACAAAGGCAATGCTCTGGAGATGAAGCAAAAAGATAAAAGGAACTGGGGTTTCCAAACCTGTAAACTGCCACATAGGCCCTGGACTGTGTGTGGTAAACTCTAATAAAAGAAATAAATAAATGATCTCCTTTCAGCTAGTGTTCTGAATCACTCTCATACCAGCAGCAACTTCATCCAAATAATCACTTAAGAGAAAAATTACATCTGGAAATAATTTCTCTTAATAAAAGCTCCCTCTGATATGTTTCAAAGCTTTGCCAAACTCTGTATAACCATGAATTTTAATATGGAAAACAACTTTAAAATATCTTATACACATGCAGAATGCATTTTACAAGTTACAGATTTCTGATTTTAGACATATCAGTATGTTCTTAGCTTTTCAACTATATTATGCCTTAGCAAGTACTTGGAATAGCAAAACTAAATGCTTCTTCCAGAGTCGGGCTCTATCCAACTCAAATAATGGTTAATATTTATTTCCTACTCACCTTCCTCCAGCTATACAGCCTTAAATTTAAAAAGCTATTAATTTTCCAAAATAAGACTAATGACATAATACAGCTAATATCCAGGCTTATTATAAATTGTGCCATCCAAAGAATGACAAAGGCTGTATCCCCCAACCTAAATTCGTTTTCTTCTTTAATAAAGGACTCTTTGCTTTGTTCATATCTGTATAAACACATGCATCTCAGACTGCATACTTGAGTATGTGTCTCTTCTGTAAACTTTTACTTGCAGGATTAAGTAAAATCACCAGATAATAAATTTTTCCTAATACTGTTATTATACATTGAGTTTCAAATGTCTGTTTCAGATTACTCAAAATTATCTGATTTTGCAGAAGCCTGTTAGTCAACTTAGGTCTACTCACTGAAGTACTCAATAAAAGCACTATCATTCTCTCACATATACCAGTATTATATATAATATTTATTCTATGTGGAGCCCTACTATTTATTTAGCATAACATCCTCAATAAATATAATTTTCATGGATACACAACAAAGTTATTTGTGCAATTGATAAGAACACACAACAAAAATTAACAGTATCATTAAGGATAAATCAGAAATAAAAAGTATCACTTTCAATGAGAAAGACTGTATTTCATTTTCAATGTATTACCATTTTATTCCACTCTCCTTCACCTTTGAGAAAGTTATGGTTTCACTGCTTAAAACATTCATCCCATTACAAAAGAATGTAGAAAGTCAAGAACACGATGATATTTTTAAAGATAATTACAGTATTGCAATATCCATAAAACATCGGTTAAAGAGCTTATATAACAAAAACAGCTGCACATGTAACTCAAGTCAAAGAATGCTGTAACTTAATTTAGATTATCTAAAGCTAATCTATTACTAAAACTAAAATCCCAAATCTACTTTTTAGTCATTATATTTACCAAAAAAAAAATCCGAAATGAGGTAATTTTGCTTTTTATTGCCAATTGTTAAATTCAGCAGACAATAATTAGATTGTAAGGAAATAGTAAAATGTATCATTAGATAAATATATAAGGTACTTCATTTAATGGAATTAGTCATCAATGGAACCAGAATTCCAGAAGATGAAGATCATATTATTCAAAACCAACGTGACCAGCAACAAAATATAAATTACCGGTATGTGAAGAAGGTCAGGGGACTTGAAAACTTGTTCCTGGTGTTTTGAGAACTCTTTAAAAGAGCTGAGGCTTAATCTGAGCCCATCTGCACGTAGACAATTTATCAGTTATTATGGGGATTCAAAATAAGATAAAAGAAGCATTCATTCCCTCTTATACTCATAAATATGAGGAAATTACCTGATTGTTGTGGTAGAAGTGTCTCTGCCTACTAAAAAGTGATGTTTGCCCTCTCTGATTTGCTGAGCCCATGTGGGATGAAGCCACAGCACATGAGAAAAATGGCCAGCATAAACTGCAGGCATAATCCAATTCTCAATACTTAATTCTCTGAAAAAGAAATAGAAAGCATGGAAACTACTAGTGAGTGGCTTTTCCCAAATGTAATTTCATCCAGAACAAGAGTTTAACAATATTCCTGATGGCATTAAGGCATCATTTCCCCTTTTCATTGTATTGACATTTGCACTGATGGTGCAAAACAATGGTGGGTTGGTACCCTAAGATCAATCAAGGTGATGGCACCAACTCTACTAGTAGTCACTGTATTCTTCACTACCAAGCACCACTGCCCCCTCCCAAAGCCAGTTTCATGTAAAAAGGTCCTTCATAATTTTATTTTATTTTTTTAAAGATTTTATTTATTTATTTGAGAGAGAGAATGAGAGAGAGAAAACACATGAGGGGGGGAGGATCAGAGGGAGAAGCAGACTCCCTGCTAAGCAGGGAGCCCGATGCGGGGCTCGATCCAGGGACTCCAGGATCATGACCTGAGCTGAAGGTAGTCGCTTAACCAACTGAGCCACCCAGGCACCAGGTCCTTCATAATTTTATTAAACCTTGATCCTGAGTATACATTTTAAATATTCTGGGTGGCAAAATGAGAAATGCACAAAAAGGACTTCTGCTACATACTTTGAAGTACAAAGGTTGTCTCAAGGAAAAGCACTTGTGATTCAATTGGAAGCTGAACATCATATTTCTTCAAAGAAAGACTGATCAACATACAATGGTTATTCAGACTTGAATCTTAATTGTTGGATTCTACATTCGAACCAAGCTTTAAAAAACCACTACTTCTTAGTTTTGGTATGCTACTGAATATTCATAATTATCTGAAAAGGCTATGAAAATACTCTTTCTAAATTTTCTTCATTTACTTCCACCAAAACAACATATGGCAACAGACTGAATGTGGAAGCAGATATGAGAATCTAGCTGTCTCCTATAAAGACAAATATCAGAGATGTGCAAAAACTTAAACACGGTTACTCTTCTTACTATATTTTTTTGCTTTAGAAAATATATTTTTCATAAAAATATATTTATGCTAACATATTGAAGTCTATTATTTTGAAATGAATTAATATTTTAAACATTTCTCAGTTTTAATTTCAAATATGGTAAATGTGAATAGATATAACCCACACTTAGAAAAATGCTCAGTAATTTTTAAGGGGGTACAGGAATTCTCAGACTAAAAAGTTTAAGAATTATTATTCTATGACTAACTGTACAGTCTGCATACTTGTTTCATAATTCTTTTCAATTTCTAAAATATAAAACCTCTAAATATAAAAGAGAGTAACAACAATGGTAGAGCTACCACATTTCTTTAGAAATTAGTTCTCTAAAATGGAGTTCTGGAAAAAGTCAACTGAAAGAAATGTAGTAGGGCAAAGTTAATTCATGCTAGCATCTATCTTTTAATTTTATATTATAAAGAAAAATTACTGCTATGTATGTAATTTTTTACATTGTATGACTAGGCTACATCCTAACAAATGCATACATAAGGAGACAGTGGCAGAATTTCAGAGAACTTTATTACAGAAGAGAGTCTAGTAAGTCTTTATTTAGAAATATATTATATATGACCCTTCTAGGGGAAAGTAGTACAAATTTAGACGTTGGAAGGACTCAATACTGGAAGGAAGGATATAAAATTAAAGATGTGTTGCCTATACAACCATTGAACAACGTGTTTAAACACATTTTCTTGAGCCTTAGTATTCAGACTTTTAAAGGGGAGAGGAAGGGAGAACTGGCTTAGGTAACTTCTAAAGTCTCTTCTACTTCTAAAATTCTATATTCTAAAGCTGAGGTTGGCAAACATTGGCTAAGCCACTCGTTTTTGTAAATAAAGTTTTATTGGAACATAGCCACAGCTATTTGTTACACAATGTCCATGGTTGCTTTCCTACTATAAGGGCAGAGATAAGTAGTTGCAACAGAGACCATATGGTGAGCAAACTTAAGATATTTACTATCTGGCTCTTGAAGAAAAAATCTGTCAACACTTGCTCTAAATAAAATAAAAAAGGCAAACAAAACAAAAACAAAACTCATGAGCTCAGCAAAGTCTATTTCCCTTGTTTATCATGTACTGCAAATTGTATTTCAAACACATAAAAGATCATTAAGAGGGATGCCTGGCTGGCTCAGTTGGTGGAGCATGTGGCTCTTGGTTTCAGGATCTTGAGTTTGAGCCCCCCATCGGGGGCAGAGTCTACTTAAAAAAAAAAAATCATTAACAAAAACCACGTATTACCCGAAAAGTGTTTCCTTGTCAAACACTGTGTCAGCTGGCATATTCACAGGAATAAGGAGGTCTGGGTGTGAATCAAAATGCACAAAACTTATGTTACTGGCAGGAAGATGCTTTGAGCCAATGGCCCGGTATATATAAGGCAGGACCTGTAAAAAAACACATGCACACATTTGGAATTAGCACTGCAATCATAAGCATATACTCAGCTGCAGCCTGAAAAACAATGCTTAACATAACTACACATAATTTGAAGCACACCGAGTTGCTAAAAAGTAGGAAAATATAAAATTTGTTCACTGTAGATGGGTTTAGATAGCGTTCCCAAGCTTTATTTTTTCCTCAGAAGTTCCAGCTTGCACCTCCAAAGGCTTTAATGGGTGTCTCTTGCTGCCATCTTGCCCCATCACAAACTCAAAAGATAATGTGGGTAAACAGACAAGGATTGGCCCTCAGGAAAAAACTGGTAGTTAATATACATTGCGGCATAAGGATGTGTTCAAGCTACCTTGGGTCTTCTGGCCTTTTCCACACCTTAGGATGATGGAGCTAGGCTAGGCGGTCTCTAAGGGTCCTGTTCTGTTACAGTCCCTGTAGTTCTAGGTTTAATACTGAATTTGAAAGCACCGCTTAACCCGCCCTTGTGCTTTTTCTCAGGCCCATACACACTGTCTCTTGGTCCTGGGAAACTCAACTTCCTTTCTCCATCCACAAACCCGGAATCATCCTCTCCCCCTTTCATAACCAGAGAGCTTCCAAGGCCTGTTAATTAAAAAAAAAAAAAAAAAAAAGTCTCGAATCCATGGGCCTCCCTTCCAGAAGACTAGATTAAGGCACCGTTTTAGCTACTCCAAAGCAGCACTGCCATAAAAAAGGGAAATATCTTTCGTGTTTATAAAAGCAGGGCTCGGTGTAAAAAGAATTCTGTACACACTAAGCACACAATACCAACAGCCCTAGGAGTGCTACGATGACAGTCCCTCTATCACAGATGGCAGCCCACGTTCCTTACAAAAAGCTTCCCACCTACACACAGCCGTGCCGTGATGGAGACGCCGGGGAAAGCTGGAAGCCTGCGTTAACCGGCAGGTTAAGGACACGGGGTTCTGCAGTGAGAAAAGCTCAGGTTCGAATCCCGACGCCGCCAGTTGTTGGTGTGGGATTCTGGGCAAACCGTGAAGGTTAAATGAGCTGCCCGACGCATAGTAAGCGATTCAATAAACGTCAGCGCCTAGTCTCCCAAGTTAGTCGTTTCGGTGCTTTTCCATCACAGCAATGGAACTCGCGCGGGTAACAAATTCTGCCTCTCTCTGGCCTTCGATGCCGAGGCTCCGCAACCTCCTTGGCCCTCGCGCGATATTGCCCCAGGCCCAGGCAGCCGCCAGCTCACCTCCTGGTGATCCTCCACGACCCACACTGGGAGCTTGGGGTAGCGCCGGAGGCGACCGCGCTCTCCCACAGCGTCGCCCATGCTTTTCCCGCGCCGGAGCATCCCAGCGAGCCGCAATCGCCAGGCTAGGAGCCCGGACCGCCGGAGCTGCAGCCCCACAGCCCCTCCCGGGTGGAAACGCGCGCTCACCCGGTTGCGGTTTCTCATTGGAAGATGTAGAGGGCAGGGGGCGGGCGCCGGGGCGCTCTACGAAGGCTATTGGCTTTTTTGCCCATCGCTCTCGTTGACGCGCCAATCACCGAGCACAAGGCGCTGTGGCCCGCCCAAGAGCTTTCCCTGTCGCGGTCCAGCTTTTTCAGGTTTGCTTTTTAATTTCTTCGGTTTCCTGTTCCGGAGGCGCGGGTGGCGCTATGGTCTTGGCGGCTGCAGAATAAGCCTGACTTTGCTTTGACGGCAACCTCGCGGCCCGAGAGCCTTTTGTAGGTAAAAGGGGCAACTTGCGGGTGTTGGAAGAGGGAGCCTTTCCGAGTGTCCGGTTTAAACGGGTCTGGAGTCCGGGGCTGGGGCGAGAGGCGCTTTCGAGTTAAGGTCGGGCAGTCCCTCTTCAGATCTGCAGCTAAGGGCAAAAAAGCGACCCTAGGCCCGAATCCCGCAAACAAATAGAAGTGAAAAATGCGGCCTTTCATTCATTTATGGAGCGCGTGCGGTGGTCCAGGGCTGGGACCGCCCGGGTCTCGGAGCGGAGGGAGACCGTAAGCCGAGCGCTTGCCTCGTGGGGCTCACAGTCTGGCGGGAGATGCAAACAGGGAGACACGCAATTACAAATCAGCTGGACGAAGGTGACTGGCTTGGGGATGCAAGTGAAGGAAAGGGTGTTCTTTTTTTTAAAAATTTTTTATTGTTATGTTAATCACCATACATTACATCATTAGTTTTTGATGTAGTGTTCCATGATTCGTTGTTTGTGCGTAACACCCAGTGCTCCACGCAGAATGTGCCCTCTTTAATACCCATCACTAGGCTAACCCATCCCCCCACCCTCCTCCCCTCTAGAACCCTCAGTTTGTTTTTCAGAGTCCATCGTCTCTCATGGTTCGTCTCCCCCTCCGACTTACTCCCCTTCATTCTTCCCCTCCTGCTATCTTCTTCTTCTTTTTCTTTTTTCTTAACATATCTTGCATTATTTGTTTCAGAAGTACAGATCTGTGATTCAACAGTCTTGCACAATTCACAGTGCTCACCATAGCACATACCCTCCCCACTATCACCCAGCACCCCCATCCCTCCCACCCCCCACCACTCCAGCAACCCTCAGTTTGTTTCCTGAGATTAAGAATTCCTCATATCAGTGAGATCATATGATACATGTCTTTCTCTGATTGACTTATTTCACTCAGCATAACACTCTCCCGTCCCATCCACGTCATTGCAAATGGCAAGATCTCATTCCTTTTGATGGCTGCATAATATTCCATTGTGTATATATACCACATCTTCTTTACCCATTCATCTGTCGATGGACATCTTGGCTCTTTCCACAGTTTGGCTATTGTGGACATTGCTGCTATAAACATTGGGGTGCACGTACCCCTTCGGATCCCTAGATTTGTATCTTTATGGTAAATACCCAGTAGTGCAATTGCTGGGTCGTATGGTAGCTCTATTTTCATCTGTTTGAGGAACCTCCATACTGTTTTCCAGAGTGGCTGCACCAGCTTGCATTCCCACCAACAGTGTAGGAGGGTTCCCCGGAAAGGGTGTTGTTCTTAATAACGTGGGCACACTTTGCGATTCTTTCAACATAGACTGATGTTCCTGGACGTTTTAACTATGCGAGACAGCTCCCTTGGTTTCCCTGTTTCCAAACAGCAACCTAGGAGTAGACAGACGCAGAAAATAAGTACTTTTCCAGTTGCAGTGAATTCCTTGACTTTTGATTTTGAATTAAAGTTTGCATCCATAACACCGTCTGACTATGCCTTCAATATGTCAGTTTCATAATCAGTGTTTCCAGATACTCTCTCTGTAGAAACATCCATGAGGATCTAATCCCGAAAGTTCAACTATTACACACTGTACAAGTGTTAGTGATCCTGTTTTCCACTTCTAGGTTCAGCACACTCCTTTGTGTTCCCCTAGACCCTGTGCATACCTGTTTTCTCTTGTTTATTGCCTTATTTATTTATTTATTTTTTTAAATGTATTTTTTTAAAGTGAATTCAGAGCTTGAGTCTTGCAGGCTATGTGTCCTACTCAACTTTGAGTCCACAGGGCCTGCGACTTGTATAGGCTCACTGAATATCGCATGAATCTGTGAAAAGGCCTACTCTTTGTCTGGTTTTGATACTACAAATATGTCATGGATATATGTGAAAGGGAAGTGTACAGTAGCAACATAGAAACATATGCCATTGATGAGATAGTAAACATTTATTGACCACCTACTATGTACAGGATGTTCTGCCAGGGGCTGTGAAGGATACAGAAATGACTATGAATCAACCCATGTCCTCAAGAAGCTAATAATCTAGTGGAGGAGTTAGAAATGTGCACACATGACTATAATATGAGACAGTCTCTGGTAAGTGCTGTAAAAGAAGTAAGTAAGTCTAGAGGGAATGGGATTACTTTCTAAAGGGAACTAGGAAAGGCTTCACAGAAGAGGTGGCATTTGACATAGGTAGATGAAAGTCAGTGGGTAGATTCATAGAGCAGGGGATTTTAGAAGAGCGGGAGCAAAGAGCAAGCTGGTATGTTAGGCAGCTGGGAAAATCTGGGCTTATAGGTACTTCATAGGGAAGGTGATAGAGGATAAGCCTGGAAGAAGTTGGGTCCAGGTTGTAGAAGGCCTTAATTGCCAAGCATGGAGTTTGAATTCGATTCTGTTGGCCATGAGCCATGAGTAGCCTGTGGTGGCAGGTCAACTGTGTAGGTCCTAGGTTTATCATGAAGGCCTTAGACTGAATGATAATCATAAATCAGATATTATCTGATGCCTACTAGTTATTAAGCACAGTGATTGAGACAGCTAGATAATCTGACATTATTTTCTTGAATCTTTGTAAAAATCTACCTTAAGCCTATTGGTAAAACTTTTAGTTAGATACTTTAGGAAGATGCTTCTACATTAAAGTTTTTTGTATTTAATATTTATTTGAGTTTTTAAAATATTTGCCGAAGCTTAAGTATTTGGAAAGTCATTCACGTTCACAGCATTCTTCAATGGAAAGCTGAGGATGAAATCAAGGATAACTGTTGTGTTTACAAATTGTATTTGAATTTGATTGCTAGTCTCATTGTGATAAGGACATCTTAAAAGTTAGTTGTAAACTTTAATTCGGGGGAACATACTCTTAATTTGTCAGTATGCTCAATGCATTGGAGAATGCAAAATCAGTGTTAAGATGATTGCAGACATTAGCAGTTTGGGAAACATTTTTATGCCTATTTTATTCTTTCTGTCCTCTAGCGCTTATATTCTCTGTGGAAGATGTGACATATCCAGACAGTACATCATGATGCAAGGCAATACGTGGTGAGTGGTGTGACAGTAATGGTGGGAGTTTTGGGAGAGCAGAGAGAAGAGCAAACACTGGCACTGGGCCCTAGAGAGTGGGAAGGAATTTGATATGTGCAGAGAGGAGGAAATGTATTCATATGGGGCAGGTACATGGCTGGGAGCACGGTCCAGAGCCCTGTCCTGATGGAGTTTATATTTCTGAGGTGCAGCCAAACGTGAAAGTTGGAAGGAGGTAATTAGTTGGTGAATTGTGATTACCATAGGACCCCCGCCAAGAAGCAGCACAGAGCGTGAGAGAGGGAACCTGACAGAGGCCTGGTGGGTGGTAATAGTGATTGTAGAAAGGCCAGCAAGGGTGTTATTATTGTAGCCAGGGAGGAAATGCTGGTGTGAAGTGGATGAACTCAGGAAATATTTATATGACGCAGAAGTGATGGGAATTTAAAATAAATTTGTGGCTAAAGGGGATAAGGGAGGGAAAGTTACCAGATAATTCCCTGGTGTATGACTTGAAGACCAATAAATGCTATTATCTATCGAGATAGGAAACATGAAAAGAGGAGCCAGTGGTATTGTCTTGGAGGGGAGGGTTATTAATTCCTTTTAGGACCTGTTATGTTGCATTTCTGGAATCTTCTGCTGAGTGTGGAGGAAGGTGAAGACAGGAAGATGCTGGTGCATATGTAGAGAATGTGGGGTGTGTGGGTAGGATGACGTGGCAAGGTTCAGATTTTTGGGGAGCCTGAGCACGGACAACAGCAAATGATTAAACAGTGGGATGTTGAGTTCATTCTGGAGGAGGAGCAGCTTTAAGGAGTGACAGAAGCCAGGGACTGAGAGGAAGAGGAGTTTATTGGCCATGAGGAGTTTGAGGTATTACAGAGAACAGCAACATCAACATCAGAATAATCCAGTGGCTGAAGGGGTCTGTCAGTTGCTCTTAAAGATGGTAAGGTGTTTGCGAAACCCTGTTTATGGTGAGTTTTTGGTTCTTTTTTCTTTTTCTCTTTTTCTTTCCTCCTGCAAAGTCATAGAATGTCGTTCCACCCAGGGCGAGGGTGTCCCCGAGGGAGGGGAGGACATGGAGCCAGACCCTCAGCCCCAGCCTTCAGGCCCCAAAATCTGAGACTACTTCACCCTCAGCAGCCTCCTGTGCAATATCAATACGAACCTCCAAGTGCCCCTTCCACCACATTCTCGAACTCTCCAGCCCCCAATTTTCTGCCTCCACGACCAGACTTTGTTCCCTTCCCTCCTCCCATGCCTCCATCAGCCCAAGGCCCTCTTCCCCCCTGCCCTATACGGCCCCCCTTCCCCAACCATCAGATGAGGCCCCCCTTCCCCGTGCCTCCTTGTTTTCCTCCTATGCCGCCTCCGATGCCTTGTCCTAATAACCCCCCAGTCCCTGGAGCACCTCCTGGACAAGGCACTTTCCCCTTCATGATGCCCCCTCCTTCCATGCCCCACCCTCCACCCCCTCCTGTCATGCCACAGCAGGTCAATTATCAGTACCCTCCAGGATACTCACACCATAATTTCCCACCTCCCAATTTTAATAGCTTCCAGAACAACCCCAGTTCTTTCCCACCCAGTGCTAATAACAGCAGTAGTCCTCATTTTAGGCACCTCCCTCCATACCCACTCCCCAAGGC